CCAGAACCAGCCCCCCCGCCTCCGTGCTCTAACCCTATGCACCCATCCCTCCCCCAGAGCCAGGCACCCCCAGCTCCAACCCAATGCCCTCTCCCCTCCCCCAGAGCCAGGCCAACCCCTCGCTCCCTCTGCTCTAACCCACCCTTCCCCCAGAGCCAGGCACCCTATCCCCTCTGCTCTAACCCAATGCCCCACCCCTCCCACAGCCAGGAACCCCTCAGCCACTCTGTTCTAACCCAAAGTCCTTTCCCTCCCCAGAGTCAGGCACCCTCCAGCCCTCCTCACCCATCCCCCCACTCTAACCCAGAGTTTAAAAAAGAGCTAGATAAATTCATGGAGATTAGGTCCATAAAAGGCTATTAGCCAGGGGGTAAGAATGGAGCCCCTGGCCTCTGTTCGTCAGAGGCTGGAGACGGATGGCAGGAGACAAATCGCTTGATCCTTGTCTTTGGTCCATCCCCTCGGGGGCACCTGGAACAGGCTACTGGGCTAGCTGGACCTTTGGTCTGACCCAGTACGGCCGTTCTTATGTTCTTATGTAGTGCCCTTTCTCTCCCCCAGAGCCAGACACTCCCAGCCCCCTGCTCTAACCCAATGCCCCCACGTCTGCAGAGCTGGGGACATAATCTAGCAGGGTGGAGGGTAACGCAGTGACTCTGTGGGAGGAGCCAAACCCGCTTCCCACACTGGACCTGCCCTGGGTCTCACCGGAGCCACTGCCACCGCTGCAGTCACACGCTGGGGCAGCGTGGCCAGGAATGGTTGGGCACGTGGCGCCGAATGTTCCATTTGACAGGCATGTGCTGCCGCTCCCTCCCAGATCCCCTTTGCAGGGCAAAAATCCAGGACTTTTTTTTGCCATTTAAAAAAACTGTCAAGACGGAGATTTAAGAAGTGAAAACACGGACATGCCCGGGAAAAACCGGACGTATGGTAGCCCTAGTGTCAGACATCATATTTTACTTTATATAAAATGGAGCCTGTCTAACAAGTCCCCATGTGGGGCCCAGGCCCCATTTGGTTGCAGCATCCTGACCCCAGCCCCAATCCAGGGGCATGCCCTGTGGTCCAGCCCCCATCTAGCCAAAGGATGTGAATGACTAGTCACCTATCCAATAAGCAAATACTTATTGGGTAGTCAAAACGCTAGTCGACTAGTCGCTTCCCCCCACTTGCTGCCTCTATCAGGAGGGTGGGAAAGAGAAAGGAGCGCTTCCACACAGCGCTGCCGCCTTGAAACGCCACAGGGAGCATGGGGTCAACGGGGGACTGCTTGAGTCCCCTCTGGCCTCGTGCTCGCCACAGCGCTTTCACCTTTGAACTGTTGCTACACTTCAAAGGCAGAGGCGCCCTTATTGACTAATCACATCGTCAATGAAAATTGCATCGACTATTCAATTAGCCAGTTAATCGAAATTTTACATCCCTACTCTGGCCACAGGAAGGGCTGGTGGCAGCCCCTCTCCTACTGTGACATAGGTAAGAGCAGAGGCCACAATCTGGCTGTGGCAATCCTGGCCTGCCCCTTCCAGCCACTGCTGCCCCTTCAGCCACCCCAGCCGCATCCAGGTAAGGTAATCCAGCCAGAACCCTGCCAGATCCCAGCCCCACTGCCTCCTGCACCTCCCACACACCCCAACACTGACTCCTGCTCCCCCACATCCACAAACTGCACCTCCAGCAGCAGCAGAAGTCCCATTAAATAAAGTCTGTGACTACATCTACACTGGCATGATTTTCCGGAAATGCTTAAAATGGAACAGTTTTCCATTATAAGTATTTCCGGGAAAAGCGCGTCTACATTGGCAGGATGCTTTTCCGGAAAAGCACTTTTTGCGGAAAAGCGTCCGTGCCAATCTAGACGCGCTTTTCCGCAAAAAAGCCCCGATCGTCATTTTCGCAATCGGGGCTTTTTTGCGGAAAATAAATCTGTGCTGTCTACACTGGCCATTTTCCAGAACAGTTTTCCGGAAAAGGACTTTTGCCCGAACAGGAGCAGCACAGTTTTTCCGGAAAAGCACTGATGATTTTACAGTAGATCGTCATTGCTTTTCCGGAAATTCAAGGGGCCAGTGTAGACAGCTGGCAAGTTATTCCGGAAAAGCGGCTGATTTTCCGGAATAAGTGGCCAGTGTAGACACAGCCTGTGAGTACAATGTTTCATTTATGCTAATATTAATCATGTAAATTATCAATAATATTAAAACGTATACTTTCTGTTATGCAAGTAGGCATTCTTATACAGCTCTTTGTTGACCACTTGTTCTGAATTTTGATGAACTTTGGCTCTTCGGTTTGAAAAAGTTGCCAACCCTGCCTTATCCCTATCATCCCATTATATCTGGGCTGGGGGTGGGGAAATGGACTTCATTTTTATACTTACCACAAAAGGCAATGTCATCATAAATGTCTGTGTCACTACGATTGAAAAGAACAAGGAATTGTAAAATGTATGGCCATTTAACAGCTGCATTCGCTATTCTAATGACATTAATACATGGTGTATTCAAAACTTTACCATGGATCCTCTTTATTTGTTTGGCCTTTCAATTAGAGTTGTATTCCTGACAAGTAATTTCCACTAAGCTTTAGAATGTGTTTGGGAGGAAGCATTGGAAACCATTAAGGCCATTGAGTATTGTTTTGGTTCTTAAAGACTCCTAAGTCAGTCTAGGGATGTTAGCGACTAGTCGACTTTCCGATAAGCAGCAGCTTATTTGATATCCATTGACTAGTCGATTAGTTGATTAAACTAAATTTAAGTCACCTATGTCAGTCTCTCTCTTCTCCTCCTCCCTAGTTCTGACCCTTGGAGGATGATCTTGGATTGACCAAGTGATCTTGTCACATGGCTGTACCAAGTCAACTTGTGCTTCTTTATCTTGTATGTGTAGTTGGGATTATCTTTTCCAATATTTTGTATTTATCAACAATCCATTTCATCTCCCACCACACAATTTTGTGAGTTATTTCTGTAATTCTTAGTGGTCAGTTTTGGATTTAATTAGCTTGAGTAATAGTCCGCAAATTTTTCCACCTTACTGTTTACCATTTCCCCAGCTCATATATGAATGTGTGGAACACCATTGGTCCCATTATAGCTTTTAGGAGACCTGGCTTTTTGCCTTTCTCCTCTGTCAAAACTGATAATTTATTCCTTTCCTTTTGTGCCTTCTTAGTTTCTCTTAAAATTCTTTTCTGTTCTGTCTGATTATACTTTTACACTTGACTTGGCAGAGTTTGTGTTCCTTTCTATTTTCCTCGCTAGGGTTTGACTTCCACTTTTCAAAGGATGCCTTTTTGTCTCTAATTATGTTTCCTTCACTGCATCGTTTAGGTTTAGGTGGCATTTTTTATCCTGTTAGTGATTTTTTTTTTAACTTGGGATTTACATTTAGTTTGAGGTTCTATTATGGTGTTTTTAAAACGTTTTTTAAAAGTTTCATGTAGCTTCTGACTGTTCCTTTTTAACATCCATTTAACTATTGTTTATTACCAGCCATGGCAGTTAATCTTTAGAGTTTAAAAACATCAAACAAAGAGAAAACAAGAGAAAGGTATCTGTACTCACAGCTGCAGCAGCACTGCCCTGGGGATATAGCCATCTGGAACAGACAGGAAAAGGGACACATGTTTATTTAAAATATAAAATTCTCACTCTGCTACTCTGATTCCTTCACTGCTAGACATCTAGGGCCCTAATCCCAGCAGAATGTTCACTCACCCAGCATGGGCAGCACAGCAGTGCAGGGGTCCACAGCACATGGATTCAGCACATGCAGTCAGTGTTGGGACTGGAGACTGATGCAGGCTGTATGGGGCTAGTGCAAGTGCAAGGCCCTACTTCAGGGAGCTCTGGGTGTGCCGGGTGGAGAGCCCTGCAGGCCTGCACCAAAACCAAGGCTAGCCAGGAGAAGCTAAGCTGGACCCTCTCTTGCACAGCCAGTGTGGTTTCTGGCAGTAGCCAAAGGAGGCAGCTCAGTGACAGATGCTTTGATTTAAGGAAGCCCAACTCAGCCTGCCCCGTTGACTGGACTGTCCCAAGCAAAATCTGGCAGCGTGGGAAGGAGAACCTACCTGCTAGAAGGTTGAAGTACATAGACAGGTTTGCCTTGGCTGGGAGTAACCACAGGCCTGAGAAGGTGGCCCAGTTTGTGGTGAGGCCCTGACATTTGGTGGCTCCAAGGCCTATTTAATCAGAATGTGCATGAATGGAAAGAGGGCTACTGCAAGTCTTATGGCCCAGGAGTGCTGCAAGAGGACTTCCATAGGCTGGTGATTCTGAAACTCCTCCTGGATTCAAACCCTCCTGAGCCTACCTTTCCCATCTCCAAGGACCCCCAGGCTTCCAGCCACACCCCTCTTTAGTGACATGCTCAGGACAGCACAGATGTCACACTCTGCTGGAATCCAGCTCTTGATTGTGCCTGGAATGCCATGAAAAATGCCCTGCTCCTCATACGGGCACACACACCTTCCATGTGCAGGCTGCAGCTGGCCAAAGAGAGATGCCAGGCTGTCTGTAACCAAAGCCTCCAAATAGTTCTCAGTAAATGCTAGGGCTGGGGAGAAGGGAAAGCAGGACACTTAAGCTGACCTTTTTGGCCCCTGAACTTGGAAATGTTTAAGACAGTAGTTACCAATCTGTCGATCAGGATCATTTGGTCAATGTCAGGGCCACTGATGTCCAGCAGGGTTCAGACTAGCTGACTGCCGTGACTCCATGCCACTCCCAGAAGCAGCAGCCTGCAGATTCATCTCTGTGCTCCTCTGGGGGGACGGGGACAGCGTGTCTCTGCAAGGTGTCTGCATCTGCAACACCCATCGGTCAGCTCCTGACCAATGGGAGCTGTGAGGGCAGTGCTGGGGCAGGTGCAGCACATGGAGACAGTGTTCCCCTCACCGCAAGAGGAGAGCAGCCTGCTGCTTTATTTAAAAATTCAGGTAGGCAGTCAGATGTTTTACTGTCAGGAGTTGCCAAAAGAGCCATTATCAGCTCCTCTCCATATCCGCCTAGTTTGGCACTTTATACCACCCCTGCATAACCCATCCTCACACAGAGCTGCTGTGCCTCTCCAGTGGTGACTGGCTCACAGAGGCTGCGTCTAGACTGGCCTGATTTTCCGCAAATGCTTTTAATGGAAAAGTTTTTCCATTAAAAGCATTTTCGGAAAAGAGCATCTAGATTGGCAGGGACGCTTTTCCGCAAAAGCACTTTTTGCGGAAAAGCGTCCGTACCAATCTAGACGCGGTTTTGCGCGAGAAAGCCTCAATCGCCATTTTCACCATCGGGGCTTTTTTGCACAAAACGGTTCTCAGTTGTCTGCACCAGCCCTCTTGTACAAAAGCATTTGCGCAAGAGGGCTTTTCCCCAAACGGGAGAGTCATTGTATTTGTGGAAGGACACTGACAATCTTACATTAGATCGTCAGTGTTCTTGCGCAAATTCAAAGCGGCCAGTGTAGACAGCTGGCAAGTTTTTCCACAAAAGCAGCCACTTTTGCAGAAAAACTTGCCCGTCTAGACGCAGCCAGAGTGATTGATATGCCTCCTAGAGATCTGGCTAATAGAGCTGGGTGTGTTAAGTCAGGTGCTAGTGGTCCATGCTTTTAGAGCCCTTCTACCAGTGCCCTGCTGAGAAGCATGGCATTGCATTCGTCACAAGCTGCAGGGGCGCTTCAAACTTACACTTCCACTGCTTGTTGCGGCAAAGTATTCTCTCCGGACTCGTTAGCTGAATGACATCCAGAATTTCTCCTCGTTTGAGTGGCAGATTCCTCCCTGCCCCCTTCTTCTCAGTCACATTGGGATCGACCATCATTCGAGTGAGAGCACGGATTTCCCCTAAAAACTGTAGGAGACAAGCTGCAAATGGTTCCATCCCTCTCAGCCTCCACCCTCAAAGTACCTGGCTTAGATGAGTGCAGGCCAGACACTATCATGACCAGGTGTGCTCATTCCCAGGAGGTGGGGTGGGTGTGGAACTGGTTCCTTAGCTGTGGTGAATCAGTTTAACAAACACTCACATTCCCTGTAGGTGGATGGAGTTTGGGGCACAGAAGCCTGAAGGTGCCTCCATGCTTAAGCCAGGGTTTGTTTTAAAGGCTCTTGTTTTTCACACAAGCACTAACCAACCACGGTGTGAAGTCTCAGAGCCTTGCACCCCCATCCTCAGCAAGAGAAGACTCTGTCAGCAGGTAGAATGGAAGGTTTATTAGTGGATTGGGATGCAGCATAGAACAGACTTGTCAGCACAGTAACCAGAAGCAGTCAGTACAATCCTGGAGAAGGTGGTCCAGAGCTAGAGCCCTGAGCCTCTCGCATCACATCAGCCAACACTAATTCCCATGCCTAACAACCTGGCCCCAAGCCCCTCCTCCAGCCTTTGTTCTGCTTCCTAGGAAAAAAGTGTCACTGGTTTGCACCCCCTCTCTGGTCAGGTTACAAAGGGCATCAGCCATTGTGTACATGCTGAGGGAGGCTACCAGCAAGATTAACACCTGAAATTCCCATCACCATCTAGGTATTGGTGCTATGCCCCAGGAAACTGAGGCACACTGACAAGGTTACTATAGGTCAGTAGAACTCACATGTAGTATAACAAGGTGAATACATTCCCTACTTCATCATAGCCTGGCTCCCTGTCAGCTCTCTCGCCTCTATGTCCACCTGCCTGGGGAGTAGCTATGAAGCTGGGATTCCGAAAGCCTTGCTTTGAGCTGGGATTCAGTTTCTGGGATCAGAGTCAGAAGCCCGGGAATTATTTCAAAGAGGTAGAAACGTAAGTGTTGTTCTGAATTTTTTCTAAACATGCTGCTGGAAATCCCAATCTATGGGAAATTCTGACATGTCAAACTTTTGTCCCAGTGTGGAACATTCTTTATTTTTAATGTTGGAATTTTCCCTGGCAGCAAATTCTTTCCCTTTCACCTGTTCCTGCTTGTTCCCCCCATGTACCCACTTGCCCTTGTCATCCCCTTCCACGTGCCTACTCACCCAGTGGTCCCCTGCCATATTGCTGATGGCCTCTCCCACACTCCCATCTCCTCCCACATCCCTGCTCAGAGCCCTTGTCACCTCCCACATACCCCCTCATCCCCTCCCACTTTTGTCGACAAAACTCTGTAGTCTAGACACACCCTAGAAGAGTGGAACTGGAGCTTTTAAGAGCAGGCAAGTCTCTGGGTAAAGGGAGTAGGAGTGAGGTCCCGGACCCTGTCTCTAGTCCACTTCACCAGGACACTGTATAAACCAGGAACATTGCCCACAAGAGCGGGACCATGCACCTGCTTACAATTAACCGTTAAATGTAAGCTAACGAAGATTTGTTGAGGGTTTCTAGGAACCATTGCTTTATAGAGCAGATCTCTGTCCCTCCCTCCAGTCCATGGACCAACTGGCTTGATGTGAAACTTTCTGTGGATCACCAGTTGCTAATGAAAACTCACCATTAATTACATAATTACACTCAAGTCATTTTGCTAGTGCTGCAGCTAGAGAGAATGGTTTAATTTAAATTATGAAATTCACTAAGTGTTTCAACTTTCTAAAGTTACTTTATCAAACTTCATTTTAAATAAAGTAAAATATTAATTTATGTCCAACACAAAAGGTTTCAATGTGTTCTTTATGGCAGAAGGGGAACCTTTTTTGGGTCAGGGGGTCAGTGACCCACAGAAAAATCAGTTGGGGACCACACCAGTGAGAAGCAAAAAGCTCCTCCAAAAATGTCAACCCTCACTGGTGTGTCCCTCAACTAAGACACCTCACTTCTCTGGAGCTTCAGCCCCTTGGGGAAAGTGGAAGGGACAAGGAGAACTGAGGTTCAGAGTTTCCCATAGGCCAGATTTACTTTTCTGGGGTTCCAGAGTTAGGGACCACCTTAGGCTCTGGGGCAGGGACAAAAATGAGGGGTTCATTGTGCAGGACAGGGCTGCCAGTGAGTGGGATAGGAATGAGGTGCAGGATCTGAGAGGGAGGTGGGGTGCAGAAAGGAAGAGATTGCGAGGTGGGGTGCAGAAGCAGGCTGGGAGTAGGGTGTCTGGCCAGTGGGAGGGAGCAGGAGCAAGGGACGGTGCAGTGTGTGGCCAGGACGGAGGGTGCAAGGAGCAATGGTGGATGCAGAAGCAGAGTGGGAGTGGGTGCCTGGCCAAGGGGGAGGGTGCAGAGTGTGGCCAGGAGGGAGGGTGCAGGAGGGGGCTTGGAGTAGGGTGTCTAGCCAGGAACAGGGAGATGGGAGCAGGGAGTGCCTGGAGATAAAGCTGGGGGGCAGAGTGGCTGATGGGGTTCAGGTAGATGGGGGGCACGGTGCCCCAGGGAAGAGGGCTCAGGTCAGAGTGGATGGATAGGGAGTTCAAGAAACTGGGGGGGGAGGAGCTCCTGGGGGAGTGGGCAGGGAGTCTGGATGTGGAGACGTGGAGGCAAATAACTCCACATCCAGCCTCCTGCTGGGGATGGGGGCCCAGAGGGGGGCAGTCCATGGCGCCTTCAGGGGGTGGATGCAGAGGCAGCTTGGACCTTCCCCCAAGACTGAGACCCCATGGGTGCAAAGCCCCAAAGGGCCCCGAGCCCCCCCCTGCGTCCTGTGTGTAAGGGCTCC